CCTACCCTTAGAGCCCGGGTTTTGAGGGTGCATATTAGGCATCATGAAAGCGCCATGCGGGCAAAGTGTTTGTGCTTTCCAGTGGCCGCCATGATGAGAAAGACCAGCTTGCAGATTCTCATCCAATCCGAATCATTGAACTAAAGTAAACCAGGAACTTCCATGCCAATTCCAGGGGCCTCATGTTCAGCAGGAGAACTCCGTGGAGGATATCACAATCTGCTTCAAAGAAACCGATTGCGGAGGAGCAGAGGCAGGAGGTCATGTTGGCCGGTGTGTTTGGACCAAGAGAGGCAGCCAGTGACCGTAAATAGGACCCTACTGGGGTACCGAACTGGGATAGTCTAGTTCGGGTCATTGTCATTCAACCTCTGTTGGGATGGGACGGTTTTCAAGGAGAGGAACGACCGGTCGTCCGGCTGAGGCTCCTGCGGCTCGCGCGCTTGTTTGTGGGATGCTCCACACGGCCATGATAAGCCATCATCCATGACTAGGGGGCGAATTATGGACAGGTTGATATGGACCCCCACATAGATAGAAAAGTAAAAGTCCTTTCAACATGTATTGGAAACTGTGCCACTATTTATTTGGGTACCACTGGAGTTATGAAATTCTTAACCTCCACTTGGGATGATTGAACCCACTGACTAATGCCATTTGTTTAAGTGAGTTTGAAACCACCAACCAGATGACCATTGCAAATGTTGCAATGCCTGAGTCTAAGATTTGGGTAGCCACCCCAATGTTGGAAACCCAATGTGCTTGAATAATCCAAGAAGAAGGTCAAGTTGCCCAATTCCAGGTTCACCTCCGAAACAAGACGCCAAAAGATTAAACAATTGTCAGCGTGCGAGCTGAAATGGTGCATGATTGGTGCCTTTTCGTAGATGTACCTGTGTACCTCCTGAGGTGTTATCCTACATGTGTGCGTATGTGCACACGCAGATATATATCCCTAGGGCTCCAACCATATCCTCAGAAGGTGGTTAGCCCCCCAAAACCCACCCCAACCACTCTCTCAGGAGGTGGTTGGAGCCCTCGGGTATACATATATATATATATACATATACACATCATCCTAACCCATCCCGAACACCTTCAACAGGATACATTTGGAGGTCTTGGGTATGACTCCTTCGACATGAATCCGCTGCTCCAGCGGCGGTCGAGGAGCTCAAAGAGAACTGCGAGGTGGCCCGCGGGCGGCAGCGAGCCGGCGAAGTGGCCCGTGGTGAGGACGAGGTGTTTTGCGCTGCCATCTTCCAACATCCACTGGACGTTGGTTGAAAAACGCTAGGAATGCAAGAGTTGGAAGACATAAAATGCTGGTTGGAGGGGCCGCCCAGAACATCCACCCGCGGCTCCGGGATCTGAAGTCTCTATATCCCACATACTCCATGTATCGAATATTCACACGCGTTGACCCCAGGTCAACCACCCCAATGTATTTTTATGACATACATGGAGGGTCTCTATGTGAAAGGAAGACTCAGTTCCAAAGGGGTGCTATCCATGGAGGGTAGGTGTGCTCATTCTCCACTCACAGAAGGGGACGAGTATTACAACACCAACATGCAACGGATTCCTGGTGATTTGGTCGGCCCAGCAGGCTCAAGGAGGTACAAACAAGGTGATTGACGCAATAGTAGAATTAGGGATCCAAGTACCTTCTCAGAAGGTACGACTGGAGCCTCCTGGCACCTACATAACAGTGTCTCCAAACACCGTACCTGAGAAGGTACGACTGGATCCCTAGGGATAGCATATCAACTGGGCTCATTTGGGTGGAGAGGGCGTTTACTCATTCACCTTGGGCGCCGGCGAAAATCGGGCCCAAATCGCGACCCGCCGCGCGACCGGTGGAGCCTGGTCAAGCTTTCAGTTTCAGTTGACAGGTTGTTCACGTTCTATGAGAGGCTGAAGAACCCGAGAGCACTCGCATAGGTACCCCAGCAGGGACCTATAAGGACACTTAACCTCTCTTGGTTGTGGTTGTTGTTGTTGTTGGCGGCACCCCCAAAGTCCCCAAAGTTCAGTTCTTATTGAGGTTCATCCCTAGTTCTTCGACTTTGGGGGGCTGAATCATCCACAGTTTGAATGTATTTTTGGCCAAGCTTACTCTGGCAGTTTGTGGCGTGGGATGTCTAGCAAGGGGTTAGGGAACTCCCGTGGCTTGGTTTCCTGTTTGATGGGGAATATGGATACCCCCCGCGACCAGTGGCTCCGTCCTGAGCAACAGCTAGATGTCCTATAGAGTATATCAAGCACACCTGAAACAGCGTGATCATTTGGGATATCCTTGAAGAACAAGGTGAGCATGCTTGAAAAACATGTTGGAGATGATCGAGTGTGTTGAGGCAAGGCCTTTTGAAAGTAGAACACGTTCTTATGTATCAACCACCAGAATTATGAACGCGGATTACTCAGTTCAACTGAACACATATGGTTTTTCCATTGTGGCACAGAATTATGTCTCAACAAATGCACTCAACAAATGGGCACAAGCTTTGCACAATCAACCTGCCAGGTCAACCCGACACATCGAGAACAATTCCAGCAGATCGAAGAACGAGTTCGAGACAAGCAGAGCCCAAAGGATGACCGACGACTCATGACCGCCCAGCAATATGTTTGCTTGTCCAGCTTTATTAGAAAGGTCTGGTGACAAGTATACGGGTGCCGCCTAGTCCATGAGTCCATGTGCCAAGCAGGAGAATGGCTAGTTGTTGATATATATATATAATATGGCTCCATGGGACTAAATTTCACCTTTTTAAAAGAGACTTTGCAGTGCATGAAACCGTCACCGGGTTCTTTCAGGGAGGAAGACACCTTTAATCTGTTCATTTATGACTTTGAATTCGTTTTGAGGGGATGCACATCAAATCATTGCAACTTCTTGTTCTATAGAAGACCAGACATGTTGCAGAGCTCCTGGCAAGATAAATTCTGCATATATATATATATATACTGACTGGTGCTTAGTAAGAGATTCTATTGGATCCATTCCCTCATTGCGAGTCGCACCAGTGCTTTTAAGATTCGGGTGACACATGGTGACACCTCCCATCACTTCCCCCTGTTGGTTGGGACCGATCAGTTTTCCCACCTTGGGACCGATCAGCTGGTGCCGTTTTCGCCGAGGCGTCCGGCTTCCAGAGAATGGCTTGTCACAGGCCAAGGCCATCGATGCCATCGACGAGTTGGACCCCTCCGCGACGCCCCGTTCGGAGTTCAACGAGTACGCGGTGATGTCGGTGAACGCCTGAGCCGGTGCCTTCGAGGCGAGTCGAGTCCGACCCCTGGGGAGTGAGAGTCACCTCCGGGTCGGAGAGGAGCGGGGTTCTGGAGGAAATGTTCGACGCACAGATGGGTGCGTCAACAGATGTGGTGAGAAGAGTAATCAGTGAATCAGCAATTATTGGCCACGAAAGCTGCAGAAAAGAGAAAAAAAGCCAAGAAATGTAGATAGATTATGGATGAATGAAACATATATATTAAAACCCTCCCATATGAACAGGTATTTTACAATCCAAATGGGTGGGTTAATCAATGTCCTGAGGCTTTGGTAAAACAATTGTGGCAGGAGTAACTATTTGCACGGGTGTGCGGAATACTTCAGTGGTCCATAAACCATCAGAAACTGCAATCACATACAGTATATTATACAGTATTGTACAAGAATATGTAAAACCATCAGAAACTGCAATCACATACAGTATATTATACAGTATTGTACAAGAATATGTAAAACAATCAGAAACTGCAATCACATACAGTATATTATACAGTATTGTACAAGAATATGTAAAAAATATATATTATATATGAACAATATATAATACCCCCTGGTATATCTAATTGCATTTGATGATACTTTGGTGAGACATATGTGTTCTGTGGGCTCCAAAGCCCTTGGAAAACACGAGCACCGGCAAAAGAAGAGGCATACTACTGGTGAACTTTTGGCATCCTGCTTGTGGTCATGGCCACAATTCAGAACCATTCCCACAATGCCTGTGACCACCAGATTTGAGCTCAGTTAGTGAGAATTTGAACCCAGCTATTCAACTGAGCTGCTCAATCGAGCGGAGAATGTGGGGCGATTTGCCCGCCAGCAGCGTGCGTGAAACCGCACGCACAGTAGGGCGGTTTCACTCGTCAACGACCTGCGCTTCCGGCGCCAAAAAGCATCAGCAGGCCCGTCCTCGGCGTAGTGGAAGGTGTAGCATTAATTACTTTATAGAAGACTTTAGGCTCTTCAGGCTGGTGGCTTCCTGGCTGCGAGCCAGGAGATTTACTACGGTTTTATTGTGAGGTCCATGAGGTTGGAATCGATTTTAAATCTTGGGGCGCTGGGCAGCCCATCCGTCCCCCTCGCCAGCTCTTCGGATGTTGGAATCCGGTGTTTAAGCCTTGGACCTTTTACAGAAAGCTTCAGAAGCTGTGTGGTTTGCCCGCAGCTGCATGGTAGACTCCTTGAAATCATCCATGGATATCGGAAGTGGAAGAGACCCCGAAATAAACTACCCGAATGTAACATGTAGGTATATATATGTCAGTTCCATGAAGTGTTTGGGATTGGGGCTGAAGTATGATGGCGGATGCATTGCTACCACGACCGGGTCATCCACCGCCCAAGCCACAGCTCCCATGCACGGAAGACGCCGTAAGACTCACGCTGTGAAGACGCTTCGAGGGTCTGGTTGACACAGTCGCAAGCCAACTGTCCAGTCGCAAGGAGTCACCAACATGCCGTTTGTTGGTGTACGAGTTGGTGTAGACATCTACGTCTGACAATAGGAGCCAAGGCATTGACTCTCCCTGGAACTAACATGGAAGTGGAAGTCCCACCTGTTTGTAGTGGATTTCATGGTCTTCCTTTCGGGGCCATTCTCCAATTCCATGTTAGTTCCAGGGAGTTGTTAGTTCCAGGGAGTGTAGATATTCAAAGTGTCGAGTGGGCATCAGTGCCTTCCTACTGCGTCCTTTTCCTTGAGGCATGACAGAAGCACAACTGGAGCCGAGCGTGGCTTCACTGAGAGGTGGTGGCTGGAATTTTACCATGCCAGGAGCAGCAGAGCCGTTCAAGTCCTTTGTGGGGGGACTCACAATTATGTCTCTTCACAACAGATTGACAAGAGGACCTGAAGTCGTGTGGAAAGTTGTTGTTTCATGCCCAGATTTAATTGAGCTTGCTTCTTGCATCCAAGCATGCCCATTGTCAAAAGGTGGAATATGACAGAGTTCCTGTGCCTGGGTTCCCCATATAAGTAGCGCTAAAGCGAGGATGTTCAATTCAAGGGTCAGTTCAAAGCATTGGTTGAACAATCAGGATCAGTTGAACAACCAAGGATTTCAATTGAATTCAATCACAGGTTGGTATGCGTGAGGCTGCACACACTTCTTCACAGCTTCTGACAGTGGGTGCACCTTGCCCGTGAAGAGGAAGAACACCTGAACATTGAAGAGAAAAGATGTGGAACACTCAGGTTCAACGGTTAAACCACCCAAAAGACTGCACGTTTAGAGTCTTGACAGAAAACAGCTGAACTGGTCCGGCACTTGTCCCTGAGGTCGTACCGTGTCGTACCATGTCGTACCTGGAAATGGGCCCCAGTCGTTCCTGTTTCGGGTCATCTCCCCAGTCGGGTCCAGGTCATGGGTTTATGGCGGCCCAATCCAAGAGAAGTCAAGTGACCGTAAATAAACCCGTCACCTGGGGTGCCTTATGGGATAGTCTATGAGGGTCCTTTGAAAACCATTTGGATGGGCGGACCGGTGCGACCGCGCGACCGAGAACCGACCTGCGCCGGTCCCGGCGCAGCCGTCGACTCGGTGGATCGAGGTGATCACTTGGACTTCGATGATCAACGCCTGCGGCAAGTGCCAGCCACCCCGCGGGCGTGCAGCCCAGCAGGTCTTCCGGAAGATGCTGGAAAGCGGGGTGAAGCCCAACAAGGTGGCTGCCCAGTGACTGGGGGGAGCGATTGATGGCCATTGGGCCATTGGGTTGACACATAGGTCTCATTGCCTCTTGTGTATTTCCGGGAGATTTTGACTGCTTGCTTGAATCTGTTTGAGTATTTGAATTGTTTTGGACGAGGGTAAGCTGAATTAGAATCGTGAGTTCTTGGCTTGCAACTGTTTGCGGCAACAGGACGGTCAGTGTGTACCATCGCGGTTTTTGATTTCTTAAAGATCTTTAAAGAAAGACAGGAAATGGACAAACGATTCGATTCGCATCAGTACTAGTAGGTTTTAGGTGAGGAAGTCTCGCCGGTGATTTCTCTTTGACATCTAGAGATAGATTCGGACATTTGCGGCAGCGGCGTTTTCTTTGTTGTTGCGCTTCCGTGGCACTTCTCTTTTGTGCCGTATTCCTCCTACACGATGGGTCGAAAGATGGCAATCCTGTACTCTCTTCATGCACCTACCAGAAAGAAACATGATGCTTTTGCTTCTCTTTGTGCCACACAACACAAGCTGGGCCAGCTGCTGGAGACCCTGTGCTTCTGAAGTTGCGAATTGAGTTAGCTCAAAAAGTGACCTTCAGTGTTAAGCATGGCCCATGCAGCCCAGGTGAGTTTGGGACTTTTCGCGACTTCGACTCACCGATCGATTCAACCGGAGTTCCGGCCGTTAGGTGACTTTGCAAGCCTTAGGCCGTGCCATTGGCAGCCTGGCGTGCAGAAGACTGGGAGTGAAGAAGAAGCAGAATACAAACGGCTGGGCAAGGTCTCTTCAGAGTTCTCTTCAGACTGGTCCTAAAACAACAGTTGTCTTCCGAACATTGTAGCACGACGCGGTCTGCGAGAAGTCTCTGGGCGAAAACCGATGCCACAGCTAGGTCAAGGAATGGATTGCGAACATTGTACTTCACCACTGGTCATCCATCCAGAAGAGCAGATGATTTGACCGCCCACTCTTCCCATGCGAATCGTAAGATTGGAGGAGGGACTAATTCCTCCACACCAACTGCCCTACTTCCCACATCTCCCCACCACCTGGTCTGGACCCAAGCAGAGCCGCAAAGCTCCTTCTTCAAAGCTCCTTGATGGAACTGGAGACCGGCGCTGAGGCTTCCAGAAGCAGCGGGCCTTGCTGCGAGACTTGGGGATCCGCAGCGATGGCCCTTAGCGAGCCAGCGAGGCGAGACCTTGGCGCGCGCAGTGGCCGCAAGGTGGGGGTCAGGAGCCGTGTGGTTTGGGACGGGCAATGTAAAGATCCATGCACCTGAGCCGCCGGTTTGTGGAAGCAAAGGAGCTGGGGTATCCATATTCTGCCTAAAGCACTTGCTCCTCCAGCTATTCTTCCTCAGAGGCTCCAATCGCCTGGCAATACGAGTTCCTGAATCCAGTTCTCCTATCTCCGACTGGACTGCAGGGACGGGAGGTGTATTGTAAGATACGTTGCCCCAATGAACACAGATGCAGATTCGTCCCATTTTTGTCATTGTCAGTTCTCAAAAGTGATCAAAGGCCCATGGTCATGGAAGCTCCATTCTGTTGATCATGAGCCATGGCACACATGAAGACCGCTTGGGAGGCAACTCAATCTGAATCTTCTGTGGAGGACTTTGAGATGAAGCGAATGACTTGGAGGGCTTCGAGGCACTGCAAGTGGTGCCATTCTTCGGTGGCTTTCAGTGCGGAGGTGCCCCTCTTTCGTCCGACGTTCGTCCTGTGGAATTCTTGGAGATGGTACTTCATCCGAGGTCTTCATTCGAACTCCCCCCACAACATCCACCGCTGATCAAATTTGTACATGGTTTATTAGTTCTGTTCCATACTGTTGTTTGTTTGGGGGAATGGCACCTGGAATTGACTTGGGTTCCTTGGTAGGAATGGGACTGTTTTGCAAGAGGAAAAGGCCTCCTGTGATCATGACGTCGGCCTGTCAGATTGGTCTGGTGTCTATATGGTTACGGCCAGGGGGTCCAAAGTCTAAACGGATATTACATGATCCCGGTTCTTCAAAGTGACCTTTTGATAACCTGGTTTGAGGTCACTTAAGCCTCCTAAGTTCCTAAGGGTCAGATAGAAACCTTCAAAATGTCTTCTTCGCAGATTGGAATATATGTGTAGGGTGCTTTGCTCCACAGCAAAAGAACGCAGTCATAGCAGTACTAGATTATTTCATGACTGGTAGAGGTCCTTACATGTTTGGTGGGGCCAACTTGTTGTATAGTTGGGTGATATTTCATGTCAACTTCCCGTCCAGCCAGACTTGTGAGGAACTTGACATTGCTTGGTTCCTTGAGGCAACACGACTCACGTTGCTTCAGTGGCTTCAGAGGTTCGATGGCACCCAAAGATGTTCTGCAGTATGTTTTGCATACGGAGGTTCATATAAACCACCCAACTTGGGGTCCCAGACGTGCCATCTACTCTGAAGCCACTGCTACTTTTATATCCGTCCTTTTGCTAGCCCACATCGCGGCCGCGCTGCGCTGGCACGTGGTCGCGTTAGGCCTGAAGCTGGACCAGCCAAAGCACCAGGACCTGGTGCGCATTTGGTGGCTGAAGAAAGGTCTGAGACCCGGGACTGTTCTCACGCTGGAGAGTCTTTACATCGGAGTCGTTTGTAGAGGACACTCTTACAAAGAATACCTCAGGATCCATGTAAGTAAACATGACCTACATTCACCACCAAAAGCCAGCAAATGTTGGCAATATTTGCTTACATGGATTGTTTGGATCGTTTGGGCATTATATTGAGAACTTGTTTGGAACTCCAAGTCAGGCATCGGAAGGCAAACGAGTACAGCACATGGCCAGTTCAGCAGTTGCACCTGAGGCAATCCTGCAGGTCTACCACTGTGCCACGCTGCGCGTGAAAACGAATGCAGAATCACTGGAGAAGGAAGCAAAATGGAGGAGACGTAGAAGACAGCACCGACCCGCAGAAGCAGCAGAGTGAAAAACAAGTGACTCTCCATCCCATGCATGTCATAACCTAAGGTATGCGAAAAGATCTTAAAGGTGTCCAAGTATAGGAGACCTCCCATTTACACCCGGACCGTCGCCGGCCATCCTTTTTGCCGAAAAAACCGCGCACCCCCCGGCCGAGTGGACGGACGACTGGGCCAGACCTTCCGCCCGAGACATCCGACAGGTGCGGAATTGTACCTCACCGGTACCTCGAACTTCCAGCACCTTGGGAGCTTAGCGCGCGACGGCAGCGCGCGCTTGCTGCCTGCAACCCGCTCGTTTTCGGAGCGAGGGCGAGTAGGAGCGAGGACGGGGCGGATATCCAAGTCTTCGCAGCTTCGCAGCCGCGAGGCCATAGCTAGCAGCTAGCAGCTAGCTAGTTCCCCAACCCCGATGGCTAGGATGAAAAGCACTCAACTGTGAGTTTGGTGCCGCTCTTTTGACTGTCATGGTCTTTGTTTGCCCGCTGTTTCTACTCCCTTGGGATGACACGACTTGTTTGCTCTTGCTTGGGATGACACTCCCTTGGGATGACACCTTGCCCCTCGATGGGCCAAGCGCATGTTGATTCGGAATCTTTGCCAAGTTTAGAGGCCTTCAGGTCTGTTGGCTTGGGGTATTCCTTGGGCAATTCCCCTCCCAGCGGAGGTCCACACTCACATCTGACCTCATCCCTCCTACCATGAAACATCTTTGATGTTGCACAGGATTTCAGTGCAGATTCCCTGCCTATAAGCATTCCAACCCCATGAAACAGGCAAACACAGCAAGTTCTTGTGTTTGGCACCACCAGGCGGAAATCCTGAACCGTCGAGTCCCTCTTGTGTTTCTGGGTCCATTGCCCACGTTGCAAGAGGTTGCTCGAGTATGCTTGAGTTGCGCAACTCATTTGGGTTCGAACTCCTAAAAGAACCCCCACCGTGCACGTTCACCCCATTCATCGTGCAGAGTCTTTCACTACAACGAAACGTTGAAATGGACGTCCATTTCCCAGACACTCCATGTATGGACTATATGCATACATGCATATGCATACATTGACCCCCTTTGGCACCACCCCTGGCCTGATCGGAAGTCCTATGGCAGTCCCATTAGCCGTGCCGCTGAGCTGACCGTGCCGGGTGAAGTGACCGTTCAAACGACCAGGACCCGAAAAACCGTCCAGACGCGCCCCTACATGTTGCTTCGGTCCATTTCACCCACCCTAGTTGTGAGGGTCAAAACCCTATAGCGAACTGAGGGCCCTTTTTGAGCGCAACTGGGAGGTACTCAACTGGGAAGGCCGTCGCACGTCGTCCGAATCCTTCAACTCACTCCAGTGGGTCGCTGGGAGTGGGTCGTCTTCCGTGAGGCTGGGGCTTTCGTGGCACTCAATGTGTCCATTGCGAGCATGAAGCGACCTGGAGGCCTCAAACTCTACCAGAAAGGAGAATCGACATTGCCACCCTGCACTACACTCCGCTTGATCGGTGTCGGGTCTGGTCCGATGCCCTTAGCGCACCGTGGATCTACAAGGAAACACAAAGAAAGCGTATTGGCGTCACTTCACTTCATTCACTTCACCATATGTTTGAGCTAAGAGTTTTAGTTAATTAGCAGACCTTATGAACAAAATACGTGTTCGCAGGTGTTTGCTGTCTTTCGATCTCTTTTCACTTCACTTCCTCTGACGGACACGTTCTCGGTTTCGTCTTCACCGCTCAGAAGCGATGCTCAGCAGCGCCGCTGCGAGCCTTGTGGCGCAGGCGGGGGGAGAGTGTGTGGCGCGAGCATCCCCTACCCAGAGCATCCACAATGTAGACTCTTGATTAACCCAAACGGTCCAAACAGCCCTTGGTCCCTCAAAACCTAGGGATTTGAGACCCCATGAGCGTCTGGGAATACACCCTCCCCCTTTGGATTGACAAAGCTCTTTGTATGACCGGTGCTTGGGTTTGCCCTGTTATACCTGTGTAACATGTGATAAATCAATGCAAATCACTAGAGAAAAAAAACATATATTGATTGTTGTTGATGATTTCAGGGTGCATATATTTCAGTCCCATGGATGGTTTGGGTTAGGGATCCATTGCCACCTTCTCAGAAGGGATGGCAGTGGATCCATAGGGGTCGGTGTTGACCTCCTTTTCAAGAATCATGAAGGTGGAAAATAGAAGAACATCGCCCAGCTATGAAGTTCCGGTGGCCAATGAATGAGTTCAAACATGCAGGTCAGCTGTGAGCTGCTGTTGTTGTTGTTGTTGTTGTTTCAGAATGGTTTCTCCAGTGTTGTTTTCAGAATGGTTTCTCCAGTGTTGGAATGGATTCTTTATAATATACTATAATATATAATAAGTGTTGGTATATTGTCAAGAAGTGCACAGCTCATGTGTCAGCCGTTTGGCAACCCAAATGTTCCAAGGTGGCAAGGTGCACTGGAGCGTGCCAGGATGTAGAGATAGCGTAGTCGCAAATCCTGTGGATATTGATTCCCCGAGCTACCTGGTGAGCCTTGTCTCACCTGAGTTACCTCGTCCTTATAGCCACATGTTTTCGCTTTTCACCCTTCAATGCAAGGTTTTGGCCAGCCACTTGTCTCGACAAAGGTGGCGTTGGCCCCCCAAAATATCAACGCTTGCATCGTTTCGATGCTTTGAGCTACACCTCCAGGTCGGTCCTTCTTCCAGCTCGGCGAACATGAAGGTGTGCCAGATTTGGGTCCAGGGGGCGGTTGTGACGAAGAAGGAGGAACCATTTGTTTTTGAAAGGATTTGTTCATCACCGTGTTGTTGTCTTTTTTGACTGTTTCTATCATTGTTATGTGTCGTTATGGGATTTGCACGTGTCAAACATATTATATGATTAACTGGTCCAACTATACCAAAAGCTGAGCTGTCGGATCTCTTTGTTGGCCGACTAGACGACTGTTTCACAGAGTTGTTCGCCCCTAAGAAAGCAAAAGAACGATAGGCATCCATGGTAAGGCTGGCAAGGTGCAAGGTGAAGATGCAACCTCACCAAACCATGACCTCCAGGTGAAAATTGGCCACCAGGCCCTGTTTTGATGTCGCATTTCTGCCATCTTCGATTCTAGTCTCCAACCTGGGTCCAAGTCGCACCCGGCGCGCACGCACGCACCAGCGTGGCTGCTTCAGCGTGGCTGCTTCAGGTGGATGCTTCTTGAGCTGCCCAGTCGGTCCGGCAGCCCGAGCCGGCCGAAAGCCGCGCGTTGGTTATCGCCTCGTCGTTGGGCTCGGTCGACCGTCCAGACCGAGCCTACGTCGAAAAGCATTCCGGATGGAGTGCCTGGACGGAGTGGCAGGACGGTGGTTTGCTGTGCTTGTTCATTGGAATGGAGCACAAGATGGAGACAGAATGGAGCAATTGTAATGGCTGAGTCGGTGGGGAGGGGACACCACCTGGCTCCAGGTCTTGGACAATCTTGAACATGTCAGCGCTTTTGTTTAAAGGCCCTGTTTTTTGGAGAGCAAATGGTGGATCAAAACAAGTCATATAGAATCTTGATTCGTGATTCATCACCCCCTAGCCCGCATGAAGAGGTTTTAAACTCCATGTTTGGGGGGTCTTATTCGTCGAGAGTCTACATTAGGTGGATGATTTAATCTTATGTGAAAGTGAACCACCCGAGCTATTGAACCTGCGAATGGAAGTGCAGCGACACGTACAGTGCAACTTGTACATATATATGTACCATATGTACTTTGGCTCAAGGATCAAGCGACTAGAAAAGGTGCGGTTTCCGTTCCGACGCTACGCCGCTTATGGACCGTCAGTGATAGCTTCAAACTTCGCTGATTAAGATCCACTCGCAGGTTATCAGCCGTACGCGCTCTTTATAGCAGTACGAGCTACACGAGACCAAGAACAAGACTAGACATTACAGAAACCTGCAATGTCAAGCTCAGGAGGAAATGGAAGCGAACCCTATTCATTCGCTGCTCCTGGTGGTCCCAACACCATTTCGTCACCAGACTCTACAATGGGTACTGATTCATTAGCAAATGCTGACGTTATCACTATGCCTACTGGATCACAAATCTCGGAAAGATCCGTGCCACCGGCTCGGAATCTGACCGATCTTGCACCCGTAGGACCAAGAAGATCGATGAGAGCTACAACAAGATCTACATCGCCTATAACGTCTACCGCGAGATCCCCAAGAAGGAGTATAGAGAAGAGACGTGACGATGATAGAGGAACAAAAGAGCAAAGAAGAGAGATTCAGCTGGGTGAAGAATTGAGATCGGCGAGAAACGCATACAATTTTCTTCATGAAGAATATGAATACATCCAAGCCGGATACTCACGACTACACCACGAGGCTGAAGTGGAGTTCAGGCAAATGTCTGACTACAACAGGAAGATGCAGGAACATCTACAAGAGATGACACAGGAAGATGAAGGAGCGACAATAAGAATTGAAGAGCTCGAGCACAAGCTACGCTTGGCGGAATCGACAGCTGAACATATCTACATGAGATATCAAGAGCTTGCACAAGAAACTCATCAAGAACATTCAGAGCTTGAATCTGTGAAAGCAACGAAGGACAGAATGTCCCAAGAGCTTCAAGCAGCAATTGGACACATCCAAGAACAGAATGAATCTTCATTGGCGATCAATAGAAGATCAAAAGCCATTCAGGATGAGAACACAGCCTTCGTCGGAATAGCTGACCAGATACAGGCTAGAATGATTGCGCTACAGGATGAGAATGTCAACATGCACGAGGTGATCCAACACCAGAGAGAAGAACAATGGAACAGTGAGGTCAGGGAAAGACGTCTTCAACACAGTGTTCACTCATCTCAAGATCAGAGCAATCAGGAAGCTATGGTTATTGATCATCTACGAGGTCAACTAGCTATGGCACGTGGAGCTGAACTCAACGCGAGAGCGGAGATAGGAGAGATGGAAGTGGGCATGAGGATGGAGATGTTTGTATGCCAGACTGAAGTCTCTGCTAAAGAAATGGCAGAAATGAAGGCGAGCCACCATGAATACGAAGCAAACGTCGCAAAGGAGGTTATCGCAAAAGGAGAAATATTCAACAACGAAGTCCTAGAAAGTTCCATCCGTGAACGACAACAATTGAAAGACGTCAACCTCGCTCTATCCGAAGCCAACGCACAGCTGAAAAGAGAGAATATGATGAGAGCTCCTATGTTCGGCGATGATGGTGCTGAAATTCAACAGAAGATCAGAGAACTGGAGAATGCACTATTGGAAAGTCAGAAGGAGACAAAGAATGTCATTACGGAAAATGCGAAATTAAAAGCAGAAGCACGAATGGCACCCATAGTCTCTCGGTACAGCAAGCGTCCTAGTTCCAGAGACCGCGGGTTACCAACCCACGCGTCCGAGGAAGATGAGATTCGGAACGCAAAAGAGGAGGCGAAGCACTACAAGGACGGGTACAATGAAATGACAGAGAGCCGAGATGAGATGTATGAATGGTATGCCGAAACCCACAATGAGTACGCCGAGGAAAGGGAGAAATCAATTGAGCTATCCGAGGCGAACAAATCATTGAGGGACAAGATTTCAGAAGCAGAAGCATCCTCTTCATCTCATCTTGCACCGGCAACCTCTACAATCATGAAAGTATCGAGGAAGGAAGAATCAAAGATAAACGTTCCGTCATGGCCCAGGATCAATGATCTTGGACTATGGAAGGCAAATCTCATTCAATCGATCATCATTGCGGCCAATGATTCAGATCAAGAGCCCTGGATCGACTGGATCAAAGAAGCCATGGACGATCCTGATCCGGACAAGTTTGTCGACTCAGGAGACCAAAGATTCCATTCAATCGATGCCAAACTCGGCCTAGCTCTTACCAAGGTCGTCATGGATGCGAAAGATGATGGTTCAGGTGTAGCTATGAAGTTGAGGACGAGGATCAATGCAAAAGGGAGAACATCAAGCCTCATAAAGGGAAGAGAGGTCCTAGCCCTGATCCTTATGAATTTCAAGACAGCATCAAATGTGGAAGTCTTATATACTTCAATGCACCTCTACCAACTAGAATATCAAGGAGACAAGAACTTATCGTTGTTCTTCCACACTTGGGATGAGATTCTGGCAGGAATGAAGCCCGTTGACGTCCCGAGCGACGAAACTCTTCGGGATCTCCTATGGAGAAAGATCAGGAACTCAAACCTCATGGCATACGACATCAGCGCCTACAACAGCATGAACGACGATGATGCCAAGAAGACATACAAACATCTACGTGATATGATCAGAAGGCACATCGAACGGCAAACTGAAGACAGGATGATCCTGGAAAAGGAGAAGGCAGTGAAGAATGTGGCCAATATCTTTCAGAATCTCAAACCAGGCGGACCTGCTCCAAAACTGAAAGCTGCACCAGCTGATCCGAAGAAGAAACCAAAAGGGCAACAAGAACAGGTTGTCTCAGAAGACGCTGCTGCAGTGAAGCCGAAACCCAATCCCAAGAAGCATCCTGAAGACAAGAACAAAAAGGGAAAGGGGAAAGGTAAAGGTGATGGAAAGGATCGCAGCCGAAGTCCGAGTACAGACAAGAAGAAGATACCATGCAAATTCTTCGTGAAAGGTAACTGCACTATGGGGAAAGATTGCCCATTCAGTCACAAGAAACCCAGATCACCATCCAGAGGATCTTCTGTCGGAAAGAATGACAAGCCAGTATGTTGGATGTGGATTCGAGGAACTTGTGACAAAGGGAAGGATTGCAAGTTCTATCATGACCCAAAAGCCTCTCCTAAGAAAGGGATATCTGCACCAGCTGACTCAGGAGACGATAGGCCAAAGCCCAAGGCAAAACCCAAACCGAAGCCTAAGGCGAAACCTGGAGCCCCAGCCATTGACGGTGAACTCTTCATGGACGAATCCGAAGATGAAGGGATTGCTGCATCCGCCAAGGCAAGAGAAGGAGGTGCAAAAGTATCCTTTGATGAAGAGACTTGTGAGATCATGTTGAACGAAGCGATCTACTCAGTCAGGGACAAATGGAAGGTAGTAGAAAAGAAACCTCTACGTCCGGACATCAAACGATACGATGAGAAAGAGCTCACCTGCTACACGAGGAAAGAACAAATCAGATTTGAAGAAAAGGTCGCAGAGGCGAGAGGCATACTGATGGTCCCCTACACTGAGATCAAGAGGGTCCGAATACCAGTTGGACCAAAGGGTGACCTATCGGTCACTATGTCTTTTGACGAAGATGACGGCCTAGTTTTCCATCATAAAGTCATTCCTCATGTATGCGAGGGAAAGAAAGATCATGCAGATACAAAGACATTGTCTATTCCAGCCAAAGGGTCCAGAACAAAGTTCATCATGGACACAGGATGTGGGTATGATTTGATATCGAAAGGCAGAGCCAAGAAATTAGGTCTGGAAGTGAGAGAAAGCGACCAATCAATGTCATTCTATACCGCAAATGGAGTGACATCCACAAAGGGAGTCGCCGACATTCATTTCGACGAATTTGACTCTACCTACTCCCCATTCGTCTTAGATGAGTCTCCTTCAGTACTGTCTGTTGGAAAGAAATGCATGGAGGAAGGATACACATTCATATGGCCAGCCTGCGGCAACCCGTACATGGTTTCCCCGAACTACAAGAAAATCATGTTAGAAGTAGAGGGAAACATCCCATATATTGTCAAGGGCAGTGACTTCTGTACCCCCACCGACGATACAAGGGCGGAGATGATCGCAAGGTTCACCCTAGGAGAAGATGAAGCTGATTACCAATCGACTTTCATCAACTGTGATGTGGATCCTCAAGGAATCATGTGCGATGATGACGACCTTCCTGTGATTGAACCTCCAAAAGTCAAAAGGCGAAAGAGGAATAAGAAGTTCAAGGCATCTCCTGGAGAAGAAGATGAGGTAGGATCAGATGTCGCCGGAGACAGTGAACCAGAAGCTGACGATGATGATGCAGATGACATCGAGGTGGATGTTGTTGACGGTGCAAGTAGAATGGTGAGAAGAGGAACTCTGAAAGCAGATGCCAGGAAAATCGAGCATCTACTCACACATCGTTACAAGAATCCCTACTGTGAGTCATGCATCAGAGCAAAGATGAAACACTTCAAGACGCATCGAGGAGCATTCAAGAGAAAGCTCAAAGCTTTTGGAGATCTGGTTACCTTTGATTTTGTCGATACGAGGAACATCCT